AGGGACGGGGTCAGGGAGGGCTGTCCGTGCCGGGTGTTGCTGTCTGGAGGGTGTTGCGGTCCCAGGGACAGGGTCAGGCAGGGCTGTCCGTGCCGGGTGTTGCTGTCTTGGGGGGGGGGGTGCCGGTCCCGGGGACGGGGTCAGGGGGGGCTGTCCATGCCGGGTGTTGCTGTCTCGGGGGGTGTTGCTGTGCCCCGTGTGTGGGGGGGAGCCCTGTGCCCAGCGCCCAGCGCCCAGCCTCACCGCTCTCCCCCCAGACGGGCAGGTACTCCTCCTGCTGGATGTTCAGCATGAGCTCCAGCCCGTTGCCGGAGCCACCCTTGACGGTGGTGAGGAGCTCGTTGCCCGGCACCCCTGCGTTGAAGGTGTAGCACTTCCCCAGGCGCGTGAAGATCTGCAGGGGAGACAGAGCCGGGCATGAGGTCAGCCCCAGCCCAGCCCAGCCCAGCCCAGGGAGACACTGCACCGGGACCAGACCACGCTGGGGGGGGGGGGGGGGGGCTGTGCCATGTGCAGAGCTGTGCTGTGTCTGGAGGGGGGCCGGGCCCGTCTGCACTGCCGTAAGCCCAGGGCTGGTGGGAGTCGACCCAGCTGTCCTGCGTTAGAGAACCCGGGGCTGGCGCGTCTACACTAGTTCTGAACCCCGCGTTAACAGGGGCTCTGGCGTCCTGGCAGCTCGCAGCCCCGAGTCAAACCAGCCTGAAACGGGGCCACTCCCCCCCTCGGGCCATGGGGCGCTGACTGTCCACCCTGCACGGGCAGCTGCCTGCCCCGCCAGCTGAGCTGCCGTTCTGGTCTGTGCCCTCCCAGCGCCAGCCACGCGGAGGAGGCTCCTTTGGCCAAACCTCTCTGGCTTGCGCGGTCACTCACCTGGCAGGAGCTCGGCGAGGGCCGGGGGACACTTGGGCAGCGCTTTGACCCACCCAAGGGACCTGGCGGATTTAATGACAGAGCAGGGGGAGGAGGAAGAGGAGGAGGCAGAGTACCTGGCATCGCAGCCTTGTGATGCTCAGCACAGCCGCTAATGCCCAGTCCGTGGCCGGGCACGGCTGGCGCAGGGCCACAAGCAGAGCCGGTGGGGCCCAGCACCATGCACCCCGGGGTGAGACCTGGCGCCGGAGGAAAGCCACGTTTCTGGAGCGTGGGAGCAGGTTGGGGCCACACCCCTCTGGGTAAAGACACCCGCAGGAGGCCCCCTGGCTGGCCAGAAGCCGGCTGCCCCAGACGGCTACAGCTCCCCTGCGCTGGAGCTGGGGGGTCGACTCTGGGCCAGGCACGGCGGAGGAGTCTGAGCAGCCAGGCGTGTGGTTTGCCCTGAACGGCGGCAGTAACGCTAGTCCGGAGGCATTGCCGGTGTTGCGAACAGCCCATGGATGGGACCCATGTGCCCATGGTTTGCCCCCAAGAGCATATGGGCACGGCGCTGTTGGTACGCAGGCCCTTGGGACCCACAGAGGCCGATTTACGAGCAGCAACGTGGGCTGCACTGGGAACGTTCACAATGCCAGGGTTTGTCGCCAGTCGACATTCAGGGACAGGCTGGGATGCTATTCCCATGGCAGGACCCTGTCACAAGCGGCGTTCTTGTCTCCGCCGTGTGACGCCTTCCTGCCTGGGCTTGTGAAACCAGGGCCTGACCCATGCTCAGCTGGTGCAGAGCGGCTGTGGGATGCGCTGTGGGCAGGTGGCTACACACCCGTTTGGATGCCAGTGTCTGCATCACTGCAGTTGCTGGGCTCGTCCCAGGCCTCGGGGAGCCGATTCCCCCCGGCTGGCCCTGTGACTGCGAGGGGCTATGGAGCCGGTCCCCTCGGCCAGGTTGCTGGATGTACCTGGGCACCAGGAGTCAGGGATGCTCTGCGCTCCCACGCCATGGACTGCCTGGCCCGATGGCATTGGGGGAGAGAATCATAGAGCGGCCGCCGGGGTCGGCTACTCTAACCCCCGCACGAGATGCAGGATTTGTTGGGTCTGTCCCATCCCAGACAGACGGCTCCAGCCTCCTTCGGAAAACCTCCAGTGAAGGAGCTGCCACAACCCCCCGAGGCGTCTGTTCCACCGTCCCACTGTTCTTACAGCTGGGAAGTTTTCCCTGAGATTTCATCTAAATCTGCTGTGCTGTAGTTTGAACTCGCTGCCTCTTGTCCTGCCGCTGTGGCCAGAGAGACCAGCTTTTCTCTCTCTTTTTTATGGCCGCCTTTCAAGTATTCGAAGATCGCTGTCATGCCCCCCTTCAGCTCCTCTTTTCCAAAGCAAACATACCCAGGTCGTAGGGCTTGTACTAGTACGGTAGGAATGTGTTTGTGGGGAGAAAGGGGCTAATTGATTTGAGGGGGGGCCAGAGCTTGGGGGCGGGGCCTTGCTTGTCATGCAATGTCCTTACCAATGACATCCTGGATAAAGGGGGGGTGAATCCATGGGCCCATCCCAGCAAGTTCCTGACCCCGCTGCAGTGTTTGCTCCTGATCCTGGGTTGAGCGTCATTATCTCAGCTCTTGACTGTCTGTCTGTTGCAGCGACAGCCAGACCCTTTCGTGATGCCATAAAAGGCTTTGTTTGCAGCGGGTTTGACGGGGCCACCCTCAGTCAGCCGCCTGCCAACCCCCAGCCCAAGCCACAGAAGAACATTTCCACAACAAGCCGATAGAAAGCGCAGGACACATACAACCCCCCCCGCCCCAAACGCTGCATGTGCCCAAGCCCCACGGCTCCTGGCCCTGTTTCTATGCCAGGCAGCCAGGCAGGGCCGTCACTCAAGGAGCAGGTCAGCAGCTGGTCCTAGCTGGTCTGGGCCTGACAGCACCCCCCCTTCGGGGTCGGCTCCCAGGAGAGCTTGGGGCCGTTCCTCGGGGCAGGCCCAGTGGAAGGCGCGCAGGAGATCTGGGACACGGACTTGTTCTTCCCCCAAATGCTCCTCCGGGCCGTATCCCTCCCAGTCTTCCCCGGCCTCGGCGGGAGCGCTGGGTCTGCTGGAGCACGCTGCCCTCTGGGCCCGGGGCAGTTAATGGTGGCGGGAGAAAAGGGTTCGGGAGGGAGATGTACAACACGGGGGAAAGCTACTCCGGGATTGCAAATGGCCCCAGGTCTTTGGGGTCATTTCATGGGCAGCCAGACCTGGTCCCCTGCCCCAAGGGCAGGATCGGCTGACGGCGTCCGTTGTGCTCTCTCGTAGCCGCTTCTAACCGGTGAGTTCCCGGTGGCCGCGTGCGCTGCGCTCAGCAATGGTGGGCGCTGGGGAGCCGAGGGGATTTCGGGGGGATGCTGAGGGTGGAACCCGGACGTCGGGAAGAACGGGCTCTGCAGGGTCGCGGTGGGGGGAGGGGGGAGGACTGTTGTGGGCGAATTGAGAGGCAGCCAGTCACCCTGCTGGTAATTAAGGAACCAGCGTGGGGCCTGGTCCGGGACCTGACTGACTGCGCCTGCCCGTCGGTACGAGGGTGCTGAGCAGGCGAGGTGCCAGGCTGGATGCCCGGGAGGTGCAGAAATTCCTACCAAAAGCAGGAAGCAAACGGGCAGCCCCGGTCAGATCCAGGAAGGTGGAAGTCCTTGTCTTTGAAGAGACAGGCTGCGTCCTGGGTGATGGGGGCCGCGACACGGGATAAATGCACCAGCGCTGGGGTGCACCCTTGGGAGGGCGGCTGCGCCGTGAGGAAGTCCATCGACACACTAGGCTGAAGGAGACCCAGCGCTCTCCCATGGGGGATTTGGGCCAGGTCAGAGGTCACAGGCATGGATGTAGGTTGCTACCAAAGCATGACGGGCCAGCCACCAGGAACGCCGTGACACCAGCGCCTGGGCTATGAAGCGACCGGAGCGACCTGCCAGAGGAGCATAGTAGCAGGCTTGCAGCCTGGGTCGGCCAGCGGGTACGTACACGTGCCCATCCACACACCAGCAGGGAGCAAAAGCCACAGACCCAGGGCTAAGGGCAGCAGGCCAGGCATGCCCAGGGGGTGACCAGAGTGTGGGGCTTGACTCAACCCATGCTGAAGAGTCTCCGGTGCCCTGAAGGGTAATGACCTAAGGGGGTGGTCTAGTGGGTGAGGGTGCCAGGAGTGACCCATCAGCGGCTCCCACCAGAGCCGGGGGATTCTTACCCATGGCCAGGAGCCCGGGGGCCTTAGTCACAGTCGGGTCCATAAAATTACCGAAAGCCCCCAAGTTTTCTCGGAACACTGTGTGTGTGCCTCAGTTTCCCCTGTGTTACTCAAGTGTCCAGGTGGTGGGATCGGGGTGTGTGATCCTGCAGAGACCGCTAGAGGACAGGTGTGAGTACCACCGGCACAGAGAATGGCTGACAGCCCCCTTCTCTGCAAGGTGTTGGGAACAGAGATCAGGTGACCTGTTTGCCTGGGAAAGGGGCAAAGGACCGAGGAGGGGCTACAGGGGGTCGGAGGCTGGGCTTGTGGAAGCTAGTCTCACTCTCCTGGTTGGGACTCGGGGGGAGGGGGGGGCTCAGGGGCACCAGGCCCTGGATCCCCCCAAGCTGGACTTGGCTGTAACGTCCTGCGCCCTGTGCTGACAAGCTCCGTTCGACGCTGTGTCCCACGCCACGGCTGGCTGTGGGGTGGGGGGCAGGGCCCCTCTGGCTTCCTCAGGGGTCCCTGCCAGGTGGCCCCGCTGTGGGAAGCGCATGGTGAGACCAGGGGGCTGAATGCTCCGAGGTCAGACCCGGGGAGCCCGTAGCCCAGGAGGCTCCATGCCCTGGACAGCCCCGAGGGGAGTCGCCCACCCCAGAGTCCTGGCTGGCTTCATACCGAGCAGCCCCAGGGCACCGGGCTGTGACTCCGTGACAGGGTCACACCCAGGGGACTGGGCACAGGCCAGGGCATGGGCCAGACCCGACAATCCATGCCACGCATACCCACGGCACAGAATGGGGCCGGGCCTGAGGCCACGTCTTGCCCCACAGGCTCGGTGCCACCCCGGGGGGCTGCAGGGCCCATTGCCAGGAAACGGGAGAGGAGGCACCAATCGCCCAGGAACCCGAGACGCCGGGCCCGTGAAGGTGACCCCTCCCCGCAGGCAGCCCCAGCCGCTCGCTCCCCCCAGCACGGGTTCGGGAGCAGCTCAAATGGCCTGAGCTCCTGCAGAGCCCCAGTGGGGGGGCTGAAGGGGCTCGCCCCACTCCCTCTGCCCCTAGGGCACAGGGCAAGGCCCACAGAGGCCCTCTGCATGGGGAAGGGGGGGAGTAGAGACCCCAAACCAGCTTCACCAGGGAAAGCACAGCTCCAAGGCGCTGCAGGGCCTGTACAGCACACCCACCGGGGAGCGGGGGGCGGGATGGCCGATGGCCCAGGGGGAGTGGGGGACTGGCCCATGGCCCGGGGGGAGTGGCCGATGGCCCGGGGGGGAGGGGGGGACTGGCCCATGGCCCGGGCGGGGGGGGGGGGG